TGTGGGTAAATAGCAGGACAGTCTGGGTTCTATAGCCTTGATGGCAACTGGTCTAGGAGAAGGACAACTCTGAATTAAAACCTGCAGAGGGTCATTTGGGGACCTTTGTGGCACGTAGTGCACCAGGTCTCTGTATTCAACCCTTCAAAAAAGTGTGGATGGTCCTGCACGAAACCTTCACCACTATAATCAAATCTCATGTGCCGTTGTCGGTTTCCTGGGAACTGATCTGCTTGACCCTCATACATCGAATTCGACGGGAGAGTCGAGTATATATATATATATATATATATATATATATATATATGTGTGTGTGTGTGTGTGTGTGTGTGTGTGTGTTATCTAGGAATAAAGTGTCGCTGCTGACACTTGAGTTTGAACATAGATCGCCTATGAGCAAACTCAGGCTATCCCATTATTGAATTAAGTAGACCACGTGACCAAAGAGGAAACGCATATATGTAAGAAGTAGCTGACCACTAATAATCGTTATTTCTAGTCTATCCTCTATTACTATTCGAATCACCATTTCTAATCTATCCTCTATACGGACTGCTATTCTCTACTCTATTCACTATAATATTTCTCTATTCGGATCACGATACGTATTACTATTCGAGCGAGTATTATCGAGCAAGTACTATTAGTGTAAGTGTTATTCGAAGGCGTCTAACACTAGTATTGTTCAACGGCGTTACTATAAGTTGAATCTGCGATTACAAAGTCTCTACTACAACGAGCATTTACGAAAGTGACAACGAATATTCGTTGACATTGCAAAAATATGATATAGCGATACATAAGTTTGTATAATTTTATCTATCAACAAACAGTATTTAGAAAAATAGTATGACAAATTGAAAAAAATAAAACGTTTTTTTGGCGCGCTTCATCCGTTAAGATTTCATCGGACTGGGCTTTGTTGATGTTGCCACGTTTACATGCGCACACGAAACGACAGATGCTGGTAGTTTCATTTTTTAAAAATATATATATATATATATATATATATATATATATATATATATATATATATTTTTTTTTTCAATCTGGCCAAATTAATCGGTATTCTTTTTCTTTTCCCCCATCAACTTTGTCCGTGATTATCCTATATTGTAATAAGAATGGTGATATATTGTAAAGAAACTGAACGCAAATTTACCATGGGTTCAGTTCGACATTACAACCACCTGGAGAAGGCCGGAGCGTACAACGGCCGAAACGTTGTGATAAATATGGCAACAAAGATAAGGAGAATATTCCGAATAATGTAAATAGTGTACATAATATCTCATCTCAGAAATATATACATATATATATATATATATATATATATATATATATATATATATTTCTTACTTGGGAAAAATCTGGGGCGTAGATTTATATTTTGATAACATTCAATAGCAGCACTTTTCGGAATTTTCCTTCTAAGTAAATTCTTATTAAAGAAGAAAGTAACTTACTCAAAATTCTCAAAAGTGCCGCTATTGAATCTTATTTCTCACTTGGTGTATGTGGGGAGGTCAACTCATATATGCACGTCCCCTCCATCGGATCCACACACACATGGTCCTAAGTATATGTTGGCTTCGAGTACAGGGAGATCCGACAGAAGTCATTCACTGGTCAGTGCGTACATTATGCGATTCACCCACCACCGCCAAATAAAAATGTCTCCCAGTAATAGTTACGTTCATAAATTACCCACTCTTCCACGTCGAAATCATACTACGCAATCCTACAATTCATTTCAGTAAGAAACTCTCTTCCCCAAAGGACAATCACGTTGGACTCTTTTTAAACGCGGAATAGTTTTGATGTAGATGTATTTCTTTCCTCGTACATATACTTTCAAAGAGAACCCTTTTGGATTTTCACTTCCAACACACAGCCTGGTAAGTTTATTAATATCGCTTCAGACCAAAATGCCGCCGTCTGCCGAGTATGTGGCCTTTCTGTGTTCTCTCTTCTTTTCATCTCTATATTCCCACTAATTCCTTTACTAATATTTCTGTGTGGTATTTGCGATTTTTGCTTGCAGCGTCAGTCTACATCAGAGTGCAAATGACACTGGGTCGCTGTCAGGCGGACCTGGGCAACGATGGTTCTTTTTCGTTTTGTTTTTTGTTTTTGTTCTTTTGCGCGCGCGTGTAACTTTAATTAAAAACTAGGCTATATCATTTTTATCATTATATGGACCTACATTGGAATTACTGACATGGACAAAGAAAAATATATATATTTTTTTTCTTTTCTAGTTACGAATGGATATATTTTAGAGGCTGATTACTTGGCCGATTTAAACCTTTGCGTAGCTCAGCCATATTTATTCGGTTGAGACACACCTTCTAAGTTTGACACAAGGTCACTAATGGTTGTAAAAGGTGGAGTGAACCAATATTGTTTTCTGTCAGACTGCTTCGAAGAAGGGAAAGCTTTGAAAATCAGCATTCCATTTCTCTTTTTCGCTTTTACCTGTTTTGAACAACTCACCAAGGCAAATGTACCACAACAGAGGTTGCATGGGTTTTTGTGTTGCTAGCTAGACTGCTTGTATTTTAAAGACACTATTATTAATGTAGTACTTCACATCTTTCCACATGTCTGCTCATCTCTCTCTCTCTCTCTCTCTATATATATATATATATATATATATATATATATATACACTGTATAGAGAGGGAATGAGAGAGACAGAGAGACCTCACACCTTCTTTCCATATGAGCACAA